ATGCTGGTGTCGGGGGAAGGGCAGAAGGGATGCGGGGGATGGGATGGGGGCATGAGGGGAAGGCAGGGGGTGCGGTGGTGTCACGGAGTGGGGGGGACGACAAGGCCCTGCACCCCCGGCTTCCTGCGATTCACCATGACTCTCAGCCAGCCAGTAAAGCAGTAGGTTTATTTAGACGACAGGAACACAGTCCAAGACAGGTCTTGCAGGCACAGACAACAGGACCCTCTCAGTTAGGTCCATCTTGGGGTTCCAGGGGCACCACAGGCCCATTGAGGGGTCAGAGCCCTGTCTGGGCTCCCCTTCATTATACCAGCCAGCTCCTGACACTCCCCCTCTCTCCAGCGTCTCTCCCCCAGCCTCCCCTGGGCTCCTCCCCCAGCCTTTGTCCAGTTTCCCAGGCAGAGGTGTCACCTAGCCTCCAACTCCCTTCTGGGTTCATGCTCAGGTATCTTCCCTCAAGGCCAGTCTCCCAGCCCCCAGTGCAGACCGTCCCAGCCAAACTCCCCACTCAGCATTCAAAGACCACATTAAGAACAGTCCCAGTTTGTCACAGGTGGGATGACGTGTTGGGGGGAGGCAGGGTTGGATGCTGGTGTCAGGGGAAGGGCAGAAGGGATGCAGGGGATGGGATGGGGGCGTCAGGATAGGGCAGGGGGTGCGGTGGATGACGAGTTGGGGGGAGGCAGGGTTGGATGCTGATGTCGGGGGAAGGGCAGGATGGGTGCAGGGTGCCGTGTGCAGAGGCGATGAGCCGGGGATGTCTGAGGAATAAAAGGAATTCTGGGTTGAGGGGGCCACTGATCCCCTTTGAGAAGGGGGAGGGGCTGCTGCGCTGTGGGGGTGGGGGGCCGGTCCTGTGCAGGGTCCTCTGCTCTGTGTTCTGCAGAGTCTAACAAGGCAGGAGCAAAAAGAGAGATCGGGGGGATGGGGGGAATCAGGAGAAGGAGAACTGGAATAGCGGGAGGCGGGGATCCCATAATAACCTTGGCCCCCAGCCCGGCTATGCCCTCAGTGCAGGGCCTGTGGCGGGGGGCATGGTGCCAGGGCCCCGCTCATGGAGACGGCGAGCTCTAGGGGTGCCGACCCTCTGTCTCTGTCGCCCCCGTGCAGCGGCATCACCGGCCGCCAGCCGTCAGACCCGGGCCCTTGCGGGATGGGCGCCTCCCCGCTGGACCTGCCCGCGTCCCCCGGCCTGTGGAAGGAGTGCCCCATCTGCAAGGAGCGCTTCCCCCTGGAGTGCGACAAGGAGGCACTGGAAGAGCACGTCGACAGCCACTTCTTCTTCAGCGCCCACGACCCCTTCGCCTTCGAGTGATGCCCCCGTCGCCCCCACCTCTCCCTGCCCCCCAGCCTCTCCCCAGACCCTCCTGTCAGGCACTGCCAGCCCGGCTCACCCCCTAGGAGCCACACAAGGGTGCCTTGGCTCCCCCGATCCCTGGGGAGCGATTTACACCCCCCCCCCGCCCTCCCTGGCATCCGAGAGCAGGGAGTGAATGGGGGGGCTGGGCACTAGCGCCCCATAGTGGCTGTTCCCAGGCAGATCTGTAGGCCTGAGATCTCCAGCCCCCACCCTGCTGCCTTAGGGTAAAATAGGGCGAGTTGCTCCCACCTCCCAAATATGGGGTTCAGCCACTGCAGATGCTGAGCGCTCATCAGTTGGAGTGGAGGGGGGGCAGGCTCACACACCCCTTGGCTGGGGGGCTCTGTGTCAGGGCAATAGGAATCCCCGGAGGGGGTGCCCCAACTCCCATCTGCCTCCTGGTACTTGGGCCTGTTGCTTAGGGCTGGGGAAGGCTCGCTGGGGGGTGGGGTTCGAGCTGGGGGGCTGCCCTAGGGACACACTGTCTTCTCCCCAATGTTTCCCCTTGGGCTCCAGACGCAAAGTGTTGGGAACTGCTGTGCACCGGATTTTGGAAGGTACAGGGGGTGGAGGAGCAGTGCAGAAAAGGCAAGGCCAGGTGGTCCCCTCTTGCACCCCCCCCCCCAGGTGAGGGTAGGCAGATTTCCTGGGTCCCTCAAGGCTCTAGGTAGGTGCAGGAGGTCAGTGTGAGGAGATTAGGGAAGGGGGCTGAGTGGGGTTAGGCTGCCTCATAGTTCAGGCTAAAAGGGGCCTGGATTTCCCCTCTCGTGGATGCCCCAAGACCCCCCCCCCTCAGATCCCAAAGACAGCTGCCCTGTGCTGCTCCCTGCCTATGTGCCAGGGGTCCTGGCCCCACCCCCAGCTCCACTCCCCTGGGCCCAATCAACTAGCCTTTGGGCCTCTGGCTGGGCTACTGGTTTCCATGTCTGAGCTAGAGAATTTTGCCGCTGTCTATAAGGGTCTGTTCCCCCACGGGACTCAGTTTCCCTGGCTGCTAGACAAGGAGACTCAGCCCCCACCCCACTCACACCGTCCATGGGCACCCAGCAGAGCCTGCCGCTTCTCAGCCCTGCAGACGCTGGCACGCACCAAGAGCCAGCCAATAATGCTGGGAGCGCACCGCTAACAACCACTGATTTGTTAGACTGTCAACTGCATAAATAATTGGCACAACAGGCCGTCCATCGGCTCCTGCCGTTCGCCACCACCGCCTCCCACGCGGGGTTAACGGCCCGAGAGGGCCCACAGGACCCAGAGCCCCATGCACCGAAACCCTTTCCTTCCCAGCGATCTCAGGTAGGGGGTGGAAGTGGGGAAGGATCATGGGGAGGTGGGGCTGGGCCGGGCACTGGGTGGAGGGCACAGGGCAGCACCCAGGGTATTGGGGGGCAAAGGGGGCTGAGCCCAGAGCTCTGTGTGTGTGGATACACATGCCCTGGGGGGAAGGGGGGGGGTGTACATGGGGGTGAGTGGGTACACCAGGGTATCAGTCCTATCCCAGCCCAGGTTGGGGGCTGGATTCCACCAGCTGCTTTTTCTGCCAAGCAGCCTCCTGGCCCCAGCATCCCCTTGGCCTGGAATTGAGCCACTCCCAGCCCCGGGCCTGATCCCAATCTCGTCTGCCCTGTGGGGTGCCCCAGGGATCCCAGCCACCTGGGTGTAAATCAGGAACGACTGCCATGGCATCATCCAAACTTTGCACCAGCATTTCCCAGGGCAGAACCAGGCCCTGGCTCTGTTGCAATCTGCCCCTCCCCGTGGCCTCTGGGCCCCTGGGTAGTGACTATGCCAGGTGCAGTAAGGGGGTGCACTGTGCCAGGATGGGGAGGAGAGGTCCAAAGACCCACCTGGCCAACTTGAGAGCTGATAGGGTCCCTGGGGCATGGTGGGGAGGGGTGCACCAGCCCTGACATGACAGCGGGGGGAGGAGGGGCACAGACCTCACATGACCCCTGGGGAGACAACACAGGGAGGGTCACCAGCCCTGGCATGACCCCTGGATGGGACAGCAGGCAGGGCAGAGCCCTGACACTACCCCTGAAATGGTTTTATTTTCACCTTGTTTTTTAAACTGACTTGTCCATTATTACTATTATAATTCTCCTGATGCAGGGTGCCCGTCCGCCGGGTCTCTGCGTCTCATAGCCGCTCGCTGTAGCATGCTCAGTAATTAGTGTTGATTTGCAGTTGGTTTGCTTGATTTCGGGGGGAGGGGGACAGTTCAAACCCCCACAACCCCCTTGTACATACCCCCCCTTCGATTATTCTCATTCACTTGCTTTTCGTATTCACGGTTGCAATTCCTTTTTTTTATTATTATTTTTTTAATATAATACTGTTGTGACTCTCCATTTGTCCCCTTCTCTTCTTGAGGGGGAAGGAGAAAGAAGCCAGGCGTTCGGCTAGCCCCCAAATTCTCAGTCAGTCGGCTGGGTGGGATGAGAGTTCATGATTGTGCCTTTTGAATGCAGGAGACGAGGCTGCTGTTTTGATCACTGGTTTATAGACGCTCTTTATTTTGTAACTAACCGTGGTTGGTGATTCTGATGTATCCAGCTGTTCCCTGCTTCTCCCCTATCTCGTCCCCAGCCTGGGTTTTTTTTTTTAAGTTGTTGTTTTTTTAATGTTCCCCCCCCACACACAAAAAAAGACAGCTAAGGTCCCCGAACGTCAGAGCAATAAAAACCAAAGTAGCGTGCACACACACACACACACACACACACACACACACACACACGGCCCATGTATAGTGTGTATATATATTTATATTACATGTCTTGGCTATTCTAATAAAATCCGGTCTCTTCAAAGCTTTGCCTGATTTATGGTTTATTGGGCACCGTAAAACCTTGCGCCGCTCCGCCAGGCTCAGGGAGATCGCTGCCTGGATAGTCGGGCTGATTTTTACTCATGGGAGTAAAAGCCACTAGGCCTGTAGCGGGGTAAGGCCGATGCCCAGGCAGCCGGGGGCAGAGATCAAGGCCGGATAGGCAGCCGAAGCACCTGGGATTGGAAACGTTCCTCTTGCTGCAATGGTGGACCGTGCTGGGTGCTATGGTGGAGCCGAGCAGGGCAGGATAAACGCAACGGCGAGTATTAGAAACAAAGATCTGTCCCCGTCCCTTGGCTGGTGCAGGCTTTGCCTCCGGAGCTCTCCTTCCATATCCTCCCTGGCCCCCATGGGGAGGCCGGTCTGCAGGCAACTGGGCAGAATTGTTGCCTGCAGTAGATTTCCAGTCTGCACCGCTGCCATGTAAGAATGCAGTTCTGCTGGCCACAGGGAGGAAAGCAACACTCAGATGGTGCCAACTGGATTTGGACCCCCTGCCCAGCTGCTACGGACTCTGTTATGGATTGAACTTGGCGCAGAGACTCAGGATGTCTGGGGTCTGCAGCTGCGTGACCCCAGGCATTTCTCGTTGGTGCCAGCTCTAACCAGTGACTCCATGCTCCTGTCTCCGTGACCGACCAGTACCAGATGCATCAGAGGAAGCTGCAAGGACTGATCCTCAGGGACGGGTCTGAAGGCCAGGAGACGTGACTCCCAGCCTCATAGATCCCAGCCTCCCTAGCATGGATGTATTATTATTATGGAAACATGTAGAGGTCCCATTGTGCTAACCCGGCACAGACACAGAGCAAGAGACAGTCCCTGCCCCAGAGAGCTTGCAATCTAAACAGATATGGGTAGGTGGGGAAACTGAGGCACACAGTGGGGAAGTGACTTGCCCAGGTCTCCCAGCCAGTTAGTGGCAGAGCTAGGAGTAGAACCCAAAAGTCCTGAGAGGCCTTGCCACTAGGCCAAGCTGCCTCCTTGTGGGTTTGTGGACAAGGTCAAAATGGACATTAAAATCTCAGCTGGTGGCTAGGACATCTTCCTGGTCTACACTGGTGCTGCAGGAAGATACGCTGGTAATTGAGAGGGTGGGCAGAGCCAGCACAGCCCTAGGGGGCGCTGTGCTGCCGGGAGGTGTCCTCTCAGGGGTGAAACATAAAGCTGAGGTCTTGACACTTTGTAATGGGGTCCCAGAAAATCCCCCAGGAGCAGGAAAGTTAATCCTGAGCCCGAGCCCAATGGGGGATTCCAGTCTGCCTCCTTCGATCCACTTCCACAGCAGGCTTCTCCACTCCAGGCCCGAAGCTGCTGTGTGACTGTTTAAAAGCCGTCGCATCCCACCCCAGGGGTGGCCGCATCCTAGTGGTGGATGAGTCAATGTCTGCAGGCAAGCCTACGGGCTGTATTATACAGGAGAGCCACTCTCAAAATCCCCTTCTTGCCTGAAATATCACTGGGGCTGCAGGGCCGACAGCTGAGGCTTTCTGCCTGGCATGCCTGGGCCCACTTGGTACCAGTTGTGCCCATCTGGGCAGCCTGGCAGACTGAGCTGGTGCAATTTGGGTTTGTTGCCATTGGGTAAGTGTCTGCAATGAGCCAGTACTAAGTGCCCCCCATCACTGAGAATAGAATGGGCCATGGAGACAGTTCTAGCCCCTCTTCCCAGGAACAGGACCCTCCAGGGCAGGGCTGGTTGGCATCACGCTGGCTCTGTGCAGAATTGCCAGACCCAGGTTCCACCTAGTCGAGAATCCTGCCTCTGACTGCGGCCGGTGCCAGGTGCTGCAGAGGAAGATATAAGCAGGCTACAGTAGCAGATGTGGGATAATCTACCCCCGTTACATCTGATCTTGGTCACTGATCGACTTAGGCTTTAACCCCAAAGCCCAAGGTTTAATATCCCTGCCCACGTCAGTGTTCACTCTTCTAACTCTGGCTAGTCCCGTTATCCACAGAAATGTCCCTCTTTGGGAATGCTTGCCCTCAGTGACTTCCTGTGGCAGGGAGTTCCACAGTCCAATTGCCCTTTGCCTGAGAAAGTGTTGCCTCTCTCATTCCCTTTGAAATCCCCACTGTTCGCTTTCATTGAATGTGCCCTTGTTCTTGGGCGGGTGAAAGGCAGGATGGGTCTCCAGGGGCTGCCAGCCCCTAGTGCGAATTCCCCTTAGGACTGGATGGACAACAAAGGGAATTTGGCTCCCGTGGGAGAAGGGGGGAGTGTCTGGTATAGACCCTTTGCAGCCCAGTCAGTGTGTGGCCTCCAAGCTCCCCCCGAGGCCGCAGCGTGAACTCATGCACTGGGCTAGTGAAGCTGGAGGTGAGACCGACCACTTTGAAAGCTGAGCTGAGCTGGCCACGACTGGGAAGCTGCTGTTGCAGGCGCCCCAAGGAGTTGGGGGAGCTCCGTGGGTTGCCCGCTTGGCTGTGGGTCAGGATGCAGATGGGGACCCTCCAAGGGGACAAACTCCAGGGAGCTGGAGCCACCAGGGAGAGAGGGCGGAAGTTGCAGGAGGCACCATGCCCAATTCTGCTGCCTGTCCCATGGCACAGGAAGATACCAAGGCATGGAGAGGGGCCATGCTTCAGCACTTCAGCTAGGCCGGGATCATGCCCACCCGATAATGCCCGGGATCTGCTTCCCATCTCATGCTGCTTTCGCCAGGCTCCCATGATTACTGAGTCTTCATATTCAGTATTATTTTTATTACGGTAGCTCCTCAGAGCCTCAGGACCCAATTGTGCTAGGCACTGTACATTGTTTATTAGGTGTATTACGGTAGCACCTAGCAGCCCCAGTCCTGGCCAAGGACCCCTCTGCGCTAGACCCTGTACAAACACACAACAAAACGGACGGTCCCTGCCCAAAAGAGTTTCCAGTCGAAATGAGTCAAGAAATGCAAGGTGCTGACAGATGGGGGAGCAAGAGCTGATGAGACCGTGCTGGATGGGGCAACGGGCAGCGATTTCAGCCCCCCACTGCCCATGCATCTGCAAGCCTTTCAGAGGCAGAGTTGCAAGGAGGGCTTGAAGGAGGCGGCGCAGGGAGCTTTGCAGGTGTTGGCTAGGGTGCTAGCCTGGGGTCTGAGGAGAGCTGGGGCCAAGGCCATGTTCTGCCACGGATGTCCCCTGTGACCTTGAATTCAATGGAACTTAGGAGCCCAAAGACCTTGCACATGGGCCTTAGCCTCTCCGGGCCTCAGTTTCCCATCTGTACAATGGGGCTGCCTCACGAGGCTGAATACACCCAAGATTGTGAGATGCTCTCGTATTAGGGAGATGGGGCACAAATGAGTACCACAGATAGAGGAGGGATATGATGAGGGGCAGCATGGGAGCAAGCCCAAAGCTGCTTCATCCCCAGGGCTGCGTCCTGGGGGGAGCCCCAATCCTGCCCAGAACCTTCCTCGGGGCTTAGGGGGCAACTCTTGTTTGATCCTTCTGCCGATTCACCCCCTATGTTTGAACCCAGCTGTTCCTCGGACCCCTCCCCACCCCCACAAATACCAAAAGGGGATGCGGCGGGTGCAGGGCTGGCGAGCGTCTTCCACAGGGCTCAGCTCTCCCAGCGCTGGTGCGGATAATGACAAAATCCATTTTTATCACCCCTTGGCTTTTATGGTCCCTTTAAAATATAACAGCAAATCATTGAGGAATTCATTAGCCCCACACACACCCCTCCCCCGGCCCTTGCTTTTCTTTTCTTCTCTGTCTCTTTTTTTTTTTTTTTGGCCGTGTGTGTATGTCATTTTATTTAATTAGAAATGTAAAATACAAAGGTCCGGCGGGCAGGTGAGGCGGGACCCGGGTAGGGGGGAGAGGGCAGCAGCGGCAGGGGGAGGGGCGGGGGGCAGCAGCGGCCTGGGGTCTGAGTAATAGTCCAACAAGGGCCTGATTTACAGTGGCGCAGATGGAGGGTTTGCCCTTGTATAACCAATAGTAATGGAGTGTTACAATCCAAGTCTTAAGCACAATGGCTGACCTGGGATATATAGATCATTAATACTCCCTGAGCTGCGGCTGCAGAAATTATCCAGCGGGAGGGAGATGGAAAACACGGCAAAGACGGCGCCAGGGGGACGGAGAAGACACGGACAGCTTAAATGGTACCCAGTGCAAAGACCGAGGGGTAGGAGGGCTCAGCCCTGGGGGAGATTGGCTGGTGCCAGGATGCCATGGGGTGGGGGGGTTGGTGCTAGAGGATGCCCTGGGTGGGGGGACACAGGAAATGAGGGACAGTGGCAGAAGCAAAGGGTTTTTTAAGCCGAGTAATCACTGAATCAGGGAAAGTACCAAGCGCCCCGGATCTCCATGGCCTCAGGCCCCCTGCAGCGACCCATCCGGAGCTCAGGAGACAGAGTTCGGCTCATCTCCAGACCTGGCAGCACCTGGTAGGGAGCATGGCCTCCCCCGCCCCCATGAGAAACAGCTGCTGTCCATTCTAAGCATAATGTCCCAAACCCTGCTGTACTTGGGTAGGGGTGGGGGGTTCTCCTGTTTCGGGGAGTCTGCACGCGTCTACGGTGTTGCCATCACTCCCATTTTGCTGTGTGTCTCATGGTATTTGGTGGTTTTTCTTCAGGCACCAGCTCCTGGAGCCAGGTGATGACAGTAGAACTGCAGAAAAGAACCCAACACTTGTGTGTATATATATATATAAATATATATATATATATTTTTAATCTCCTGATTTTTCAGCAGGTCTCATGATTTTTGAAGGCCTGAGTCACTCGTGCATTTTGAAATGCTTGAGGTCACTTAAGCTGCGCCTTTCTGTAGATAAATAGATAGATGGGGTCAGGTGTATTCTAGAAAATTGTATTCTGTGACCCTACCCTTCCCCCAACTCCACCCCAGAACTCCTCCCATAGCCCACCCCACCTCCCCAATTTCACACAGCACCCCCTGCCATAGCCCCCCCACTTCCCTAATTTCACACAGCGCTCCCTGCCATAACCCTGCCCCCACTGCCACCCC